AGCTGTATCATATCAAACTCATGGCATTAGGCAATAATGGTTTTTAAACCATTCTCGGGTTAGCGAGCCCTAAAATAGCACCAATTGGCTAAAACATACCATGAGATAATCACATAAAGTCCAAGAATTCAATATGTTAAAGCCGATTATCATACAACTTACAAGAGTCTTTTCATCAAACTTATTTATATTACTATCACAATAACATATGCTAGTTTTGCTACCAAACAAGTAAGTCAATTTAAGAGTAAACCTTCAATGATCCAAAAAAGGCAATAACATGCATACTTAGATGCATTAAGAAAAATCCATGTCATTCTTGTTTTTACTTCTTGCTCATCGTTTAGGCTCAAGACTTCCTGTGATTATGTTTGTGAGGCATGTGTGGGTACTAAAAGGTATATTAAAGGCTAATGTGTCTTTCTTGGAAGTTTTTTTTTACGGGTGGTTTAGATTGATTTTAAAATTAGATGTTACTCAAGAGATTCGAATTTAAAATCTTTAGGTTTAACACTAGTGGTATTACTTGAAAATTCTTTCCTTTTTTGAAAATCCAGTAAACAAACCACTATCTCCTGATCCTCATATGAGGCTGAGTATCTTGCTTTGGCATACACAACTTGTGAAGTCCAATGACTGCCTTTTTCTTCTTCACGACTTCTAGGTTCAACATCAGTAACTAGCGAGTCTTTACTGTGATAACCAATGTTCAATTTACATTGCACAAAATCCCACTTTCCATGACTGAACCAAACACATTAAATTGTCATCCAATTTGTGAAAAACCCTTGGTCGACCTTGTCAAGGTTCTCCATGTCCCATAGGTTCATCACCTTGCTGACATCTTCACCAAGACATTGTCTCCTGTTTCACTACTCTTCTCTCAAACATTGGGGTACTTAACCGGCCCATTCCCTCCATCTTATGAGGGTAACAAAAGAAACAAACAAATATTTTGTTTTCTTCAGCCAGCAGTCTCGAATTCCCTCGAGACACATGAAGATATATGGTCACTAAACTGAACATTGTTGTTTCATTGCTAGTAGAGAAGGATCTAGAGTCACGTGTCAGTCTCCCACATTGAACTGCTCGCACCTAATAGAATTGCTCCATTCCTAACCGTCTAGAATGAGACTGTTTCTACCGTTCTTTTCCCCCTAGTTTGCTGTAAGTAATTTTCACCAACAAAAGCTGAATTCTTTTGACTTGTGCTTAACCATATATAGTCAACAAAAAAAAAAAAAAATTAAAGAAGGTACGTTAGAACCCTAGAATCGATTCAGCCAATTTTGTTGTTGTTAAATTGGCTCGTCTATAATAACTTGTAGTGTAGGCATGCATTGTAGCGACGTTAGTTGTTGATGACGGGAGAGACAACTATCGATCGATGGAACGTACGTAACCCATACGCATGTCCGAATTAGATGTTCTGTTTTCACCGTAAAACTCCAAATCTAGGAGATGCAGTTTGTCAACCTTCTCTCTTATCCGATCCGATGGCATCTCGTTCCCAACGGAGACACCAAAGGCATCATCTCCACCTTGTTCGCTTAACACTATTATTGTTGCTGCATTGTTTCTCTACTCTCGATCGTGGCAGGACATGTTTCGTTGCCGGATCCAACTGCCAACATCTCTCGTCTCCTACGAAACCGTCCTGCTATCTGCATGCCCAATGGAATGGAGTTTTTTTCCCTCTTTCACTGAAATTTGTATTCTTCTTGTCTAATTAATCAATAATCACTGTCTCACACGTACACTTAGTTTTTTTTTTCCCCTTTTCCTAAATCAATTTTATGTTTCTTGTGTTTACGCACGCGATCATATTTCTAGTTATATTTGATCAATTATTTACAAAGAAATTTGTATTCCTCTTGTTCTATAGTTATGCCGTCTATGCGCGAGTCTCGTTTTTTTGTCTAATTTTCAATGATGAATTATGATGCAATCATGGTAACACTAGAATTTAGATGTTAAATCACAATGACAACTTTTTTTAGATGATCCTTCACAAAAAAAAAAAAATTGTTTTAGTTGATCACTAATATATATACATTTTTTTAATGGGGATACCTATAATTCAATTTGGTTAAAGTAAGCGGATTAATAACTACAACGTGATATATTTCTGATACGTCAGTTATTTATTATTTGAAGTTTTCCGCCCATTGACTCTTTCGCTAGCTGTTGACGAAAGAAAACATATAAATGAAGAGTTTCATCCTCCCAAGGCGCCTTACCCAGACAGATACCCTGGTTTGTTGGTTTTTTCCTGTTCAGCCAGTTTAGATACCGGCCGCCCCAACTCTCTGACAGTGATATAACTCATTTTTCATGCAGCTGCAATCGGTTTTATATAATTGTTTTTCTTTTTGTCTCTAAACTAGATCCTGATTTTTGGTGGCTATATGCATAGGAATTATGTAAGCATTTAAAAATATAATAGACTAAATCATAATAAACTATATTTAAAATATATTTATATCGATAATTTCAGACAAAATACACATGTGTATCCATAACTACGACATTTGTAACAAATATAGCTTTTTAAAATAATGAAAAATATAATCATACTTGGAATGCTCATTGTAGGAATATATCCATATTCATTAGAAACATTAATGACATTAGAAATGCCGTTAAACATGTTAACAACCCACAAACATAAACAAAACATACTACCCACAACCCACATTATTAAGAAGTAAAATAGCCTAACTTACCATTAAACACTTAAACACAATTGAGTAGCCGCCACAAAGACATCATATCTTCGGACAAACAAAAAGGAAACAAAATAAAACACCAAGAGACCTTGAAGGCAGGGGCAGAACCCAGATTTGAGTCTCGGGAGCTGAAATTATTTACTGTACCATCACCGAAAAGCAAAACAATATAAAAATTAGTATGTTTACTATAATAACGGTATAATGTATTATTTGAGATAACAAATACCCTAAATTATAGTTACTATTTTGATATATTCAAAATAAATTAGTAAACTACAAAAAAATCATTATGTAACACGTTTTTCGATATATTCACAAATGAAAATGAATTGAATATAAGGTGAAAGAGGTGAACGAAATCATTATATAAGATGAGTTGGGTATGGATATCCATTTACTCGATAGAGTTTTAATGACACATACAAAAATTAGACTTATTTGTTGAACTTCAACCGTTTTGGGTACCAAAATGCAATACACAAAAATTTTAGGTACTAAAATATAATTTTCCTTCAATATTTGGAGGACTTATATATCGAAAAAATAATGAAGGTTATAAATCTAAAGATCTATTAAGTTTAGGTATAGAACTGTAATTTGCATAGTTGAGGCTTAATTCCTTTTGTGGTGATGTATTTAAGATGATAATTATTTACGTTTTTATAGAAAAATGAAAATTATTGATTTGATATGCGTAGATACCTATCTAGCCAAACATTCCATGTATAATCGTTGAAAATTCTAACCCGTGCTAAAGAGAAAAACTCTAGGGGGAAGCAAAAGGAATACAAACTGAAACTGAAACTCATCATTTTCCACTATGGGATTTAAAGGCGTGAAATTTTAAGCGAGTTTCAGTTTGTTTTCCTTTTGCTTCCCTCTAGAGTTTTTTTCTTTCACACCGGCTAGAATTTTCAACAATTATACATGAAATGTTTGGCTAGATAGGTATCTACTCAATAGTTTTCATTTTTCCTATAAAAAGTTAAATAATTATCATCTTAAATACATCACCACAAAAGGAATTAAGCCTCAACTATGCAAATTACAGTTCTGTACCTAAACTAAATAGATCTTTAGATTTATAACCTTCATTATGTTTTCGATATATAAGTCCTCTAAATATTGAAGGAAAATTATATTTTAGTACCTAAAATTTTTTTGTATTACATTTTGGTACCCAAACTTTTGAAGTTCAACAAATAGGTCTAATTTTTGTATGTGTAATTAAAAAACCATCGAGTAAATGGGTATCCATACCCAACTCATACACTTTTAGATTATGGAAGTAAATATCCATACTCTACCCAAAACCATCTACAAACTTCCATACCCATATATACGTCACCCATACCTAACCAATAATCAATGGGTCTACTTGGGTTGACCACCATATATCTCTTCTACGTCAATATCATATTGTAAAGTCAATATTAATAATAAAACTACTAACAAAAAAAAAATACTAATAAAACACCATAACGGGCCACATAATACATGCACAAAGATCATCTCCACCCGCGGCAAGACGTGACATCACCACCTTGTACCTTTCTTAAAATTAACAATATAAAACATCATCCCAAGGATATTAGTTTTCACAAAATGTGCTCCAAAAGTCGTATAAGCAACTTTGCTTACCAAAACCAAAATATTAAGACACTTCCAATGACTTTGAGCAAATCCATGAGTCCTTTACTGAATTTCCAACATCACCATTATAACAAATCATGCATTTAGTCCACTAAAAGCATGATGCAAACCGATAAAATAATTCTCCGACAAAACCAACAAACTTGAGAAAAATATTTTTGGCGACTTGAGCAAAATTAAGGACATGAAAAGATATTCATTGCAACGCCCGGGAAGCGTAGGTTCTGACGAGGCTCCCTCACTTGTTCTTGCATGCTCATTCTATATTACACGAGAGACAAATTCTTGTATTTATTGAAACCATGTCGTTACAAATAAAATAGTTTTCTTGGGCCAATGACGCTTGGTGAGTTTTCATTACACTATCGTGTCACATAAATTAACTACTCAAAATACACTTATATAGCAACAATTTTCACGTTTATTATCGTTATAACCACAAGTTTCGAAATACACAAAATAGCCACTTCGATCTATCCCTTTAACGATATCATTTAACAGTATGACTGAAGAAGAAGACCTTATTTCCAAAATCGCTGATTCATCCCCAATCGCTAGATTGAAAAAGGCATCGGAAGCTTGGTGGAGTCGTATAAAAACTGCGAGAAAGAGAGCATGAAGGATGCTGGAAGAATCTCGATGGTGGCCACGAAGAAGAAGGCATCGGCGGCTCCAATGAAAGAGGAGACGGTGTCTCCAATGGGGAGAGAGAGACAGATGGATCGGGGAAGGAAGGATATGACAGTTTGTAGTGCATTCCCCTTCAAATTCCTAGAAACCGTCAAGGTTGTGGTTGTTCTTGTTTCCGGTGAAGGTTGATTCGTCGCAGTCAATTGGCCCGATTCATCGCCTTCTCTCCCAAGCAGAGTCCCGAGAAGAAATCAATGATAGGGTCGCGACGGCTTCATGTATTTTGAAAGTTTGTAACGAAAATGACTAGATTTTACAAACAACCATCAAAGTTCTGGCTATTTCATGTATTTCGAAAGTTGTGTCTATAACTGTCACAAATGTGAAAGTTATAACAAACCAACTGGTCTCATAAGTCAAGTTGTTGGGAGAATATCATGTATGATACTTAACCACTTCCTTACACGCCCCCTCAAACGAAAATCGACTCATGGGCTTGAAATTTGCCCAGGCCCGCCATACCATGTGCTTGAGGACAATAGTTAATTTTGAGGGTCGTGAGCATTTGAACACGTGAACTCAAGTACAAATTAGTATGTGATACTAGGTTACGAAAGTGTATTTTGCCATTATACATCTATTATTGATTACTAGAGAAAGGGGAGCATTGATTCGAAATTTTGTGCATATAAAAGTCAAAATGTTATCCGATCTCACCAAGTATACTATATTATTTTAATATATTTTCAGAAAACATTTTGTTAGATAATTTAAATTAATCTGTTGCCAAACAGAAATAATCATCCGTGGAAATCAACAGTGCCCGAAAATCTGGCATGAACTTTGAAGTTTTTCCACGTTCCGACGAATTACTATCATAAGCGGAATCGATCGGAAATCTCTACTATCAATGGAAGGCCGTTCACTCCTATGTTCATAATTTGTCCAAACGATCCTACAGAGCAAATCATTGGTTTTAGTTTTACTCTTGAAATAAAATATAGAAGCCTTGGTTTTACTCCATGAATTTTTTCTATATGCCACCGGAGTATATAGTTAGAAGTTGTTTTGATGTATTAATTGCTAATGTGGCATTTGCAGCGTCAAATAATCGATTAATAGTTCATGTGATATTTAGTTGTCATTTCAGTAGTAGTTTGACATGTGATATTTAAATAACTCGTTTTGGCTGAACCGTTTGCATTTGGTATTTGACAATAACATAGGTGTAAAACGAGTTATTTCCAAATAACACGGGGTAGGTGTTATTTCAAATAACTCATGGCCTAAATAAGTAATCACATTAAAATTTTGCTAAAAGAGTTCATTTCGGTATAAATAACTCATTGTCAGTGACAAAATCATACTTTAACCATTTACGGTTGGTTTTGTACTATTTTTGCTTCATATTGTCATGCGCTAATATATAGCACGACCTTATTGCTTCTAGACCATTTTTATCATAACTTGTTCTCATCTTATTCTAGGCTAGGTTGTGTTTTCTTTCATAATCTTAGGTCCTAGCATGATAGAAAGGGTTTTGAAAAGTTCCGGTCCATCGGAGGTCATTTGAGGGGGGGGGGGGGGGGGGGGGCAATGTGGATGTCCTATCTATATATCTATGTTCATCTTAGTGCATGATTTTTGGGTTTTATTTTTTCCCCAATTTTTAAGGTTTGACCCACCACAGGTGTGGAAGATTTTGTGGGTGACTTGATCATAGCCTCACATGATTGTCTCATACCCTATGTCTATCAAGTTATTGCATGAATTGTATTTCAAGTGGGGTGTAATTAGGCCTTGGATATTGATGAGGTGATCCTGCACCAATCTCTGGATTTCGAATCATCATTAGGTTAATGTGGATTGATTGGACCATGGCATCACATTATTCTTTCATAATGAGGTTATCTGATGAAGAGTGATATATTTTCATTAGTGGAATCTAACCTAAACGCATCACCTAGGTAGTTGAGATTGTGAGAATTCAGACTCAAGTCCCTCTACGTTGGAGGTAGGAGCTCTAATTTCCTAATCATTGAGTTACAGCTTAGTATAGGTATTTAATTTCATGGAGTGAATGATGAATCAATCCATCCCTTATAACATGAATCCTTAACAAGGATCGAAGGTTGTTTCTTTCTTCATTAGTCTTGTTCGCATTTAAATCATTAAGCATCTAGTTTGAGTAGATAGTGCGTAAATAACAAGGGTTGTAGTAGACATAGAGACCCCTCAGAATACGACCTCTGTCTTTGGCGCTATACTACTTTTCCAATTCGAGTTATACTTGACTCGAATTGGAGTTATATTAGTGTTGTCGACGACCAAGCTACAAATTTAAAGCTAATAGAGAGCTTCCCTATGCAAAGCTTTTCCTTCTGCTTTCCCTCGTTTAATAGTGTTGTTTGCTTGTCTTTTCATTTAGATTTTCGAACCCAACAAGGGAACTTCAACCCTGGAGGCACCTTAAACTCTACATTTGTTTTACATTAATCCCAAATTTGAGCTATGTTGGGCACATTTGTTTTACAAACCCTGGAGGCACCTTAAACTCAAATTTGTTTTACAAACCCAAATTTATAGCCTAACTCATATATATATGTTAATGTTCTTGATGCCCAAAGAGGTATTTGTGATTGTGAGATTGAAAAGCTTTGTAGTTATTTCTCATTGGGGTAAAGCAAGGTGAAAGGAAAACGGTTTGTGTATCATGGATCAATCACTTTTCATAAGGTTGAAAGGGGGTGTAGGAGTTCAAGATTTGCAAACAAGGAGTATTGCTTTGTTTCTAGACATATCAGGTCTATCCTCTTACAACAAAGATCCCTATGAGTTGCATGGATATTGGAGTTCAGATCGAAAGGAAAGGATTTCTAGATTTTGAAAGGACGAGTAATTCATGGAACTGGCAGGAAATCTTGAAATTTCAAAGTTTAGAGTTCTTATGGGGATCGGACTGGTAGGTTCTTTATTGCACTTATACGGGAACAGATTCATCCTTTTAAGCCAAAAGTCGATTGTTTAAGGCTTGTTTGTAAAGGAACCGAGATTCCAAAAAAAAAAAGATTCTTGTATGGTTGACTGCGTCGCTATGACACAACTCCTAACAATGGCCAAGTGTAACCAATGAAAGGGACTGCTGTATAGTGGCTCAAGTAATAAATATCGAATCCACGGGTCTCTAGAGTTACTATTACTCAGCTTCAGTTCATTATCTAGCAAACCAGATTAAGATGGAAGAACTAAAACTACTCTAACAAACTACAGTTAAAGTTATTCTAATTACAGGTTAGGAACTCACTTAGGTATGATTCCCCCTAGCCACTAGCCAGATTAATGATTGATGGTCTCTAACTTGTTTCACTTTCATTCACAATGTGGAGAATCCTTGACTAAACCTTGAATCTCGACTAAAGGATCAAGGCCCTCTTGAGTCAATTGCCTAGAGGGACGTATCCTTCTCTAGAACAACCAATCAAGGCGTTCTGAACTAGATTCCCTCTATCGAATGAGGTTCTCAATCGATACAAAGCATTGAATCAACCCTCGACTAAAGCAGTCGATCCAATACTATCAATCTATGGGGCTCTATTGACCTAATCAGGTATTCGCTCTCATAGGATCAAAGCAGAATCAATAATCTCAACTAAAGCAGAATTGAATAATGAAAACATGCATAGATTGAATATGAACTCAAGATTATCAAGTAAGAGTACTCATACAATCATCCAATCAAACAAACATAGCTAGGGTTCCTCAAAATCTAAGTGAAGGGAAGTTACTCCATAGAGAAGAGAGAGATTGCAGTAAGAATCTTCAGATGATCAGTCTTCAAGTCCGGGCTTGTTCTTAGAGCTTCCAAGGTGAATAAATTCTCCAATTCCACTCCAAGAATGCCCTCAAATCTCCCGAGCTCTTTGGTTCGTTCCTTGGGTATTTGGGATCCAAAACCCAGCTCACTCCCTCCAAAAAACGCACAAAACAGGCTTTTAACAGCCTGCGTTCGAGCCCCGTTCGGGTATTTTGGGTACCCGACGGGTATTTTTTGTTCACGACCAGGGTGCCTTCTGATGCTGCCAAAAATCCCCTATCAGATGGCCAAAATACCCAGTTGGGTATTTTTAACCTACTGAGCGGGTATTTTCCAATTCCGGGTCCCCTATCTTTGATTCTTCGTTTCTCCCTCGTTCGGACTCCAAATCAGGTGTCGTTTGATCCCAGACGCTCGTAGTCTCGTCCTATTTATTCTCATGATAAAATTACATGATTCTATGGTCACAAATTTGGTATAAATCCATTCTTCTTCAAGTCATACCCGAGTTTCTCCCCCCGAATCGCCAATTGATCTTTAATTGACTTGAAACTTGCGCCTACGCTTCACTTTATGTGCTAGGACCTGAAATGTGACAAAGGAACACAACCTAGTGTAAATAGGCCAAAGAAGAGATAATCAATCTTAAATGATCAAGAAACAAAGAGGAAAACATGTGCAAATATCGAGTCATCATTGGCCATGGAGAAGAGAATTCAGCAAGAGACAAGATGGCAGCAATATACCTGTTGATTATTGGGTTTTAGTACAATTAAATGGATCGGTTATCTGTAGAAGATCAGTTGGCGTGAATAGAGAAATGCTCGGCAAACTCCAGTCTCACCGCCTCGGGCTCTGCCACTTTTTCAGCCGTTCGAACCGCTCCGTCACCGTTTCAGTTCCTTTCAGTGATTCCGCCCCCGTCCTCTGCTTCACTCAGGCTCTGGCTTTAGTTGTTGCATTCCTTTCATTCCCAGATTCGCTCTCTACTAATTTTTTAGATGGCCTACTGTTAATCTTTTCTTGTACTAACTTTTGCCAGAGTTAATCCTTACGTTTATATGCTGTGTAGCGTTGTAACGACCCACTTTTTTCGAAAACCAAATCATAACTCAAGCCAAAAACCGGTTACTCCGAAGCAACCCAAAACACTTTAAAAAAAATAAACTGACAATGTATAAGAATTTCAAACAAAAAGCCTGAACACTTGGGCAAATGACAATCCAAATACTTAAAATGGATGAACTCAGAATCTATAGTTTATACTCTTAAACATGTAACAAAGAAATTAAACTATTCTAGCTTTGACTCTTCACGAGTTCCTTGACTTCTCATCCATGCTGGTGCAGCTACTCGCCTCGCCTTGCCTCTTCTC